GAATAGGCCGAGCTGACTCCATCTTGAAAAAGAAGGAAACTCCATCTTACATTCCCAGTGAACTTTGGACTATGTGCCTGGTAGCCATGGAGATCACATACCTATGGCCAAACAGGCCTCCCAGACTGGTCGACACCAGATTCCATACCAAGATTTCCCTTCGCCAGAAAGAATGTAATAATCCCCTATGTAGTCAATCACCTTTGTAATCTTTATGGCCCCGACTGGTGTAGGTTACAATGAATAACCAGCTGACCCTTCTGATTATGAATCATGGCTGTAACCTGATTTTGTCTCCCTTTAACATTTTCCAGGCTAGGTTTAAGGAATTTGAGGATGTGGGCTTGAGCACGTACACGTAAAGTATATAAGGTTTTCACAAAAGTCGGTCGGGGTCCCTGGCTAAAGAGGAAACTCTGCCTAGGACCTGCTGGTGTAATAAACTGCATTCCACAATCCATGCTGTTCTTCTGAGTGAGTTTGTTTCCGGGAGCGTTTGGCTATAACAGAGTGGGTTGCCATGTCCTACCTCCAGGGGATCTTCCCAACCCAGGGATCAAACCCAGATCTCCTGCATTAGCAGGCACATTCTTTACTACTGAGCCACCGGGGAAGCACAGTGGCCTGGGAGGGACTAAACCTGGTTCTGAATTCTAGCTCCACTGTAAACACTTTGTGTTGTGAACTTGGGCAAGTGGCTTAAATTTCCTTGGCCATAGTTTCCCCACCTGTGAAGATGATCTCAGTCTCTGAGGGCCCTTCTTTTCCTTATTTCTTCATCTGATGGTGATGTGACTTTTGTTTTGACTCTTTCTCCTTTTGTAATAAATGCATCTGGAGGCTACGAATTTCCCTTTAAGAACTGCTTTGGCTGCATCTCACAGGTTTGGCTATTCAGTGCTTTAATTCCCATTAAGTTCTAAACACTCAGGTGTGATGTAGTACCTATTTTTTCAAAGAACTTTATTGAATTTGTTACAGCATTGCTTCGGTTTTATGTTTTGTTTTTTTGGCCCTGCGGCATATGGGATCCTAGCTCCCCAACCAGGGATCGAACCCACACTCTCTGCATTGGGAGGTCAAGTCTTAACCACTGGAATGCCAGGGAAGGATGGTGATGTATTATCTTTATCTGTATGCCTGGCTATTGCCTCTCTTCCCCAGCCCAGTCTTTAGTCCCTGTTTGTTTGTGAGGATGATAAAATGGACACAGAGGCTGAGAGGGAAACAGGCAGGGTGGCATAGACAGGCACAGATAAAGAAGGACAGATCACCACCTACATAAATACACAGACATAGACAGTGACAAAGCGACAGGAAAAATACATAGACAGAACCAGAAACATGGACAGAACAAGACACAGAGCTGAGAACAACAGATATGTAGAGATGGACACACAAAAACAGGCAAAGGACGTGAATAGATGTCTTTCCAAAGAAGCCATACAAATGGCCAACAGGCACACGAGAAGGTACTCAGCACCACTAATCATCAGGAGAATACAAATCAAAGCTACAATGAGGGGCTTCCCTGGTGGCTCAGTGCTCAAGAATCTGCCTGCCCATACAGGAAACACAGATTCAATCCCTGATCCAGGAAGATCCCACCTGCCATGGAGAAACTAAGCCTGCGTGCCACTACTATTGAGCCAGTGCTCTAAAGCCCGGAAGCTAAAAATACTGGGTGCACATACCTTAGCTACGGAAGCCTGTGCGCTGCAGCAGAGAGAAGCTACTGTGAGGGGAAGTCCATGATGCACTCCAAGTAGACACTAGCCCCCACCGGGCACAACTAGAGAAAAGCCTGTGCAGCAGGGAAGGCCCGGCACAGTCCACAATATATAAATCTTAAAATGCTAATAATTAAAAAAAAAACCCACAAGATGTGTCCCACACCTGTTAGAATGACTTCATAAAAAAGACAAGAGATAACAAGTATTAGTGAGGATGCAGATAAAGCGGAACCCTTGTATGCTGCTGGTGGGAATGTAAATTGGTGTAGCCACTATGGAAAATAGTATGGAGGTTCCTCCAAAGAATTAAAAATAGAGCTGCCATATGATCTGGCAATCTCACTTCTGGGTATGTGTCCAAAGGAAATGAAATCAGTATCTTGGAACAGATATCTGACCTCCCATATTCATTACGGAGTTACTCACAATAGCCAAGACCGGGAGACAACCTAAGTGTCCATCCGCAGATGCAAGGATAGAGATGTGGTGCATATATATGATGGAATATAATTCAGTCATAACAAGGAGGCCAATCCTGCCATTTGGGACAACATGGGTGAAACTTGAGGGCATTATGCTAAGTAAAGTAAAAGTGAAAGTGTTAGTCACTCAGTCGCATCCAGCTCTTTGTGACCCCATGGACTGTAGCCCACCAGGTTCCTTCGTCCATGGGATTTTCCAGGCAAAAATACTGGAGTGGGTAGCCATTCACTTCTCCAAGGGATCTTCCTGATTCAGGGATCAAACTCATGTCTCCCGCTTTGCAGGCAGATTCTTTACTGTCTCAGGCAGGAAAAGACAAATGCTGAATGATCTGAGTTATGTAAAATAACCACATTCATAGAACCCCAAGAGTAGAATGGTGGTTGTCAGAGGCTGGCAGGGAGATGAAGGAAAGGGAGAGATGTTAGTCGAAAGGTAGAGAGTTCCAGCTTATAAGATGCATAAATTCTGGGAATGTATTGTACAGCATGGTAATTAGTTAACAAGATCGTACTGTTACACTAGAGTTTTTTTTCCCCCATTTAGTCTTTTTTATAAAGTCTTTATTGAATTTGTTACAATATTGCTTTTGTTATTTTTATTTTGGGTTTTTGGCTTAGAGGCATGTGGGATCTTAGCTTCCCACCAGGGATGGAACTTGCTCCCACTGCATTGGAAGCCAAACTCTTAACCACTGGACCACCAGGGAAGTCCTTGTACTGTATACTTGAAAGATGCTAAGAATATATCTTAAATGTTCTTACTACACACACACACACACACACAAAGTTACTATGTAAGGTAATGGATGTGTCAACCTTATTGTGATAATCATCTTAACAATGCATATAAAATATATCAAATCATCAAGATATTCACCAGAAACCTATACAATGTTAAATGTCAAATATATTTCAATCAAGCTGAAAAAACAGACAAACAGATTCATAAGGAGCTGCTAAGATACTGTCTTGGTGTTGTGTGTGTCTTTGTTTAAATCAGTCTTCCCATGAAAAGGGAGGATGGTGAGGGTGGGGGGTATGTCTGTCCTATTTATGACTGTGTCCCCAGAGCCCAGCATACAATAGGTGCTTAATCGACTCAGGCTGGAAGGAAGAGCTGTGAACTGTAGCAATGTAATGCTAAAGCAATTTCTTAAAATGAAATCAGATCATGTCCCCTGTTTAAAAGTCTCTGATGGCTTCCTGTCCCACTTAAAATTCAGAAGGCTGGAGGGAGGGGGGAGTGGGGAGGGAGGGTTTAATGGGGACAGAGTTTCAATTTGGGAAGATGGATAAATCCTGGAGATGGATGGTTGACTGAACAACAATGTGAATGTGCTAATGCCTCTGAACAGAACACTTAAAAATGGTTCAAGTGGCAAATTTGGTTGTATATGTTATTTACCACAGTTTAAAAAATTTAGGGACTTCCTTGGTCCAGTGGTTAAGACCCCTTCTTCCAATGCCGGGTGCATGGATTCAATCCCTGGTTAGGGAACTAAGATCCCACATGCTTCCTGTGCAGCCAAATAATAATAAATTTTTTAAAAGGGAGCTAACATTAAAAAATGATTGCACTCTTCACTAGCAAGGCCCTGCCTGCCTGAGGGCCTGTGCTCCTCACCCTTCTCACCTCCAGCTGCTCCCCTTTTATCCAGGCTACTGCACCCACACGAATTGCCTCCACCCTCTTCCAAGCTTGTTCCTACCACAGGGCCTTTGCACTGGCTGTTCCCTCTGCCAGGAACATTCTCTCTGCACATCTTCTCATAGGTGCTCCTTCTAGCCCATCACATCTCAGATCCTCCAGAAGCCCCACCCCCCCAGCACATTATCTGATTTTTCCTTCATTACCTGCAACCATGGTCAGTGACTACGTCATATCTGACTCTTTGCGACTCCATGGACTGTAACCTGCCAGGCTCCTCTTTCCATGGGGTTCTCCAGGCAAGAATATTAGAGTGGGTTGTCATGCCCTCCTCCAGGGGATCTTCCCCACCCAGGGATTGAACCCGCGTCTCTTGCATTACAGGTGGATTCTTTACCCGTTAAGACACTTGGGAAGCCCCTTCCTTCATTACACCTATCACTAATTTAAATCAAGTCCTAATTTGTGTGTGTGTGTGTGTGTGGTCGGTCTCCCCCAGTAGGTTGTGAACTCCATGAGGACAGGGGTCTTGGTTTCCACACAGTGTCCAGCACACAGTAGATGCACAATAAATATTTGCTGAAGGACTAGTCAGAGACTGGTGCCTGTACAGATGGAGACGGGGACCCCCGCTAACTCTCTACATTCCCATACCCACCTCCCCAGAATTCTGTCTGTGGCTGTGACTCAGCCATGAGTCTCAGGATGCTCCCTTCCGGTCCCAGGCCCCGCCCCTGTCCAAGCCCCGCCCCCAGGAGACAGAGCAGACCCAGAGCCTTGGGGGCCGGTGGTTGTAAACAGTTTTATTGATGGGGGGCAGGTGGGGGAGGCAAACTCCAGAGAGGGTCCAGGACTCAGCTGGCCACTCAGCTGGCATGCATGGTCAGCTGGAGGTCAAGGGGGAGGTCACAGAGGACGGGTGGCATGGGACCCTCTGACCACCCTGGGGCCGTATTTACAGGGGGGCCCGCCTGCCTTAGCCGTCCCCCAGACCGCCCGAGCCCTTAGACAGCTGCCAATGTGACATCTGGACAGGCCTCCCGAGCCCCCGCCTAAAACCCCTGCCGCACCTCCCCTCGAACTCCTAACCGGCACCTCGGAGGCCCCCGGCCCTCTGGAAGCCCCGGCGTTGGCTCAGCCAACGCCCAGGCCGCTGGGACCTCCGCGCTCACACACAGACACGCACACTGCGCGTGGCCGTCGCCACACACACGCAGCAGCAGCCTGCAGGCACACACGCACGCCTCCCTCCCCTGCCTGGCCCCTTGCACACGGACACGGCATGCACACACACACACACACCCACACACGCCAGGGGCCGGGTGGAGGAGGGGGCTTTTGTGTGGCTGGGTGGGTGGGTGGAGCCTGGGTCTGCAGGTGCGCTCCCCGCCCCATTCCCACCGCCTCCAGGCGCCACCCCTGCCCCCCGGCCGCCACCCCGAGAACGGAGTTGTGCAATTGGTTTAGAAAACTGCAAAAGAAACGCAAATTGTAAAACAAACCAAAATCCACGCGCAGAAGGTCAACCTCAAATCCATAGCACATTCCGCCCGCCCCGTCAGCCCGCCGCAGACCGCCTCAGTGTCCTGCGGCTCTGGGGGCGTGTCGGGGACAGGGGGAGGCCGAGCCCCTTGTGCTTCCCTGCGGCGGAGGGGAGCCCCCCGCCCCCCCGCTCGGCTGGGCTGGGGGTCTGAGCACCCACTTGGGAGCTGGCCCCGGGCTCTCGCTCCTGGTTCCCGTGGCTGGCACCGCCGAGGCGCGGGGCCGCGGCCTAGGGCACGGGGGGCGCAGTCCTGTCGGGGCCCCCGTAGGAGAGCAGGTGGGCCAAGTCCGTGACCGGCCGGGCGTGGCGGCCGCGGGGCCGGGCCTCGCCGCTGTTGATCGTGTGCGTGCGGCGCAGCGCGGCGGCCGGCGGGGCGTGCGCGCCTGGTCTCCGGAGACTGCCCGTGGGCGGCGGGCTCCAGGGCCGCGGGAAGCCATCGGCGGACGAGCTGGGGTCCGAGGGGCCCGTGGGCGCCGACACCACCCGCCGGCGGTCCGGGCTGGCGTGGGGGGTAAGCGGGAAGTCGCCGTGGGAGGCGCGGCCCGGGCGCGCGGTGAAGAGGCGGGCGTCGGGGGCCGCCGGCTCGCCCGGCGCGGGGGGCGGCTCAGGGGCGCGGCCGGGGGCCAGCAGCAGGAGCGAGGACGAGGCGGAGGCGGTGAGCAGCGCGGGGCCGTGTTCCCAGGCGCGGGGGCCCAGGGGGTGCGGGTGCGGGGTGGGCAAGCGCTTCTGGGGCAGCGGCGTCTGCTCGGGCGTGGGCAGCAGCCCCGAGTCCAGGTCGTGGGGGCCGCCCTGCAGCAGCGTGGCCTTGGTCCAGCCGTTCTGCATCAGGGGCGCCAGCAGAGCCTCCGGGGGACCCCCGGGCCCGCCGCCGCCGCCTCCGGCCCGGCCTCCGGGGCCGCCAGCCCGGCGCTCGCCTAGGCGGCTGACGCTCAGCACGGCCTCGCCGCCCCCGTGTGCTAGGATGGCCTCCTTGTCCTTGCGGCGGGCCAGTTCGCGCCGCTCGCGGAGCCCCACGTACCACCCCACGCTGAAGCCGGACACCACGGCGCCCACCACGAAGGCCGCCACCGATGACGTTACCAGCAGGTTCACCGACACCAGCCCAGCGCGCTCCTCCGAGAGGCTGGCGCGCAGGAGTCCTGGCAGAGAGGGCGGCGTGAGAGGGGCTGGCCGGGGAGGGTCCCCTGAGCACCTCCCGCGACCTCCAGTCGGTCTGTCCACCTCTCTGCTCAGGGGCGTCTCTCTGACCCTTCAAAGCCCATTTGCCCATCCGTCTGTCCCCTGGCATCTTTCTTCCTAAAATCTGTCTGTCCATCGGCCTGTCTGTTGGCCTCTCTCTGCCCTCCCTCCCGCCCCAGTTTGTCTGTCCTTTTCCCACTACCCTACCTGGAACTACCGCCCCCGTCCTTCCCAAGCCTTGAGGGACATTAGTGTATCCCACCCGTTCAGGTGTGAGAACCCTGGGGGACCAGGACTTAGAGTCCCCAGGCCTCCTCCCCCTCCCCTCTCACCTGTGCAGTCCCCTAAGCCTGAAGTGCTGGCCCCGGACACGTCCTGCTCAAAGGTGGCTCTGATGGGGTGGGGGGAGCAGAGAGGCATGGTCAGCGGAAACCCCTGGCACAGAGCTATGGTTGGTGGGGGTGGGGGAATCCTGATCATCAGGTGACTCAGTCACCCTCCCCCCACCTCCCACTTCCCCAGTACCTGGTGCCAGGGCTCAGGAAGACGCAGGAGCCATCCGGGGCCCACCCGCAGTAGGGGTCCTGACTGCCAATGCAGTTCCTAGGGCAGACAAGGGACCCGGCAGGCAGATCAACCAGGGTTTCTGCAGAGGCACCTCTTACTGTCAGCTCTGGGAGTTCCCAAGACACGTCTTAGCAGTGGGGGCTATTCCTTCCCCATTTTACAGATGAGAGAACTGAGGCTCAGGAATGTGTACTTTTGTCCAAGGGACAGAGCTGGGATTGGAGCCCAGGTTTTGGATCTGTGCTATGGCATCACTACTACCATGATGGCAGGCACCGGGCCAGGGTGCTCCACGCAGAGGGCTCACTCCGAGTCCATGAGTGTGCCAGTATTTTGCAAACATCTGTTCTCTGGTCCCCAGCTTCTGCTTCTCTTAGAAATGTCTGTCAGATCCCATCCTGCTCTGCCCACAGATCTCTGGGGCTCCCACCTCACTCTGGGTGTGGGGGAAGGAACCCAAGTCCTCCTGAAGCTCACAGACCCTGCCCAACCTGCCCCGTCTTCTCCCTACCCCTCACTCACTCTGTTCCAGCCACAGAGGCTGTCTCACTGTTCCACCAACACAGCCAGCATTTCTGCCCCAGGACCTTTGCACATGCTCTGCCCTCTGTCCATGGTTCAGAGAGTCAGAATGGAGCCTGCACTTGAACTTGACTCTCCCCCTCTTTCCATGCTCACCTCCCTTCACTGCCCCTACCCACAGCTGGCCGGGGGCAGGGGGCACTCACTTCATGCATCCTGAGTATTGCTGGCAGCGCGCCACAGGCACTCGGACCACACAGCGGGGGAAGGCTGCCAGCAGGCCGCCCGAAGCTGCATCCAGCTCCAGGCTCAGCAGCCGCTGCCCTGTCTCACCACCCTCAGACTGTCCACACCTAGGGGTGAGCAGACTGGTCAGACTCAAGGGGAACGCCCTGTCTCCCTACCCACTGGCCCTGGCTCTTGGCCTCTGCCAGGCCTCACCTGTCAGGCCGGTAGGTCTCAAATTCCTCCAGGAAGACACTGGGTCCCGTGGTACCCGAGGCACTGGCGTTGGGCCAGACAAGGAACTTGAGGACTGTGCCTGCCTCGGACCCCAGGAAGACAACGGTCTGGTTGCCCCAGGGGCCGGCGCTCACGTCCACAGCCACTCGTGTTAGCTGGTGCCTGGGGCCAGGGTGGAGCAGAAGTCAGGCTGCCGCCCAGCCCCCCTGGTCCCTTGCATGCACTCAGAGACACCACCCATGCTGGGAAAGGTGGGCATGGGCATGGCTCCAAGGGTGCACATCACAGAGAGAAACAGACCCCCAAAGCCAGCTCCTCCCTGGGCCCTCCTGTCTCCATCTCCCCGTCTCCCTCCATCTCTGTCTCTGCCTCCCTCTCTGTGTCTCCCTCCATCTCTGTCTTCCGCTCGTGTCATGTCAGAAGTTGACCCTATGCTCCCTTCTCACCCACCACCCTGGCCTGGGCTCTTGTCCCCACCCAGGTCTGACCACCAGGACCCCAGCCAAGTGTAGGAACTGACCGCATCAGAGTCCGAACGATCCAGGGTGCGTGGCCCAGGGAGGGCACAGCCTCGTCCATCAGAGGGTGCGTCTTGACGAAGTTGAGGATCTCGTCCGGGAAGGCGCTCGAGGCATTGTACTGCATGCCAGGAGCTGCGCAGCACCCGGGCCTGGGTAGGGGCGAGGGGGTGGTCAGGGCAGACCTTGAGGCCCCGGCTCAGGAGCTCTGATTCACTAGGGTGCCCCTGCTCCAAGGGCTCGGTTCTCCCCCCCTGCACAATGGCTACAGCTGACCTCTGTGCTGTGCAGTGCTTAGTCGCTCAGTCGTGTCCAACTCTTTGCGACCCCATAGACTTTAGCCCGCCAGGCTCCTCTGCCCATGGGGATTCTCCAGGAAGGAATACTGGAGTGGGTTGCCATGCCCTCTTCCAGGGGATCTTCCCAACCAGGGATCAAACCCAGGTCTCCTGCATTGCAGGTGGATTCTTTACCGTCTGAACCACCAGGGAAGCCCAAGAAACTGGAGTGGGTAGCCTATCCCTTCTCCAGGGGAATCTTCCCAACCCAGGAATTGAACCGGGATCTCCTGCATTGTAGGCAGATTCTTTACCAGCTGAGCTACCAGGGGAAGCCCACGGCTGACCCTGGCAACAGCTAAACAAGTGCCTGGGAGTCCCAGCCCTCAGTTCAGGGTCAGGATGGAGGGTCCTCTCACCGGGGCCGTGGCACCTGATCCTCTGGCACGGGTGTCCAGATGGACTCAGGGGACTTCTGCTCGCGGAAGCGGCCCTCAAACACGGCAGCCACCTGTGTCATGTCAAAGGCGCAGACAGCCGAGCCGGGGATACTGTAGGTGGAGACAGATAAAAGGAAGCAGTGAGCCCGGCAGGGTGGGGAAATGTCCTGGGCAAGCGTGTGGAGGTGTTTGTCCTCTGGAGCAGTCAGACCTTCACTTCCCTGGGCTAGAGTTGCTGCCCACCCGTCCAATCCAGCCATTCCACAATCTGAGCAGTTCTCACTCACACTGGATCACAGCTCAGTTCCTCCATGGCCACCCATGTCCAGGTGCCCCTGTCACTTGCCTGGATATCCAGTTTTCCAGATGCCACTCTTGCTCCCTTTCAACCCATTCCCAAGAGTTTTCCAGAAATGCAAGTCTGACTTGTCCCTCTTCTGCTCCTTAACGTCCCACGGCCCCTAGTGCCCTCAGGATAAAATTTAGGCTCCTCCCCAGAGCCTGCCACCTCCCTGCTTCGAATCTTCCACTTTCCTTCTCGCTCCCACCACTCTAGCCACACAGGCCTCCTCCCTATGGTTTAAACATATCAAGCTCATTGGAGCCTCAGGGCCTTTGCACATGCTGTTCCTTTAACTTGGAATTCTCTTCCCTTTCTCTCCATCTCATACCCATTGATGCCTCTTCTAGGACACCCTCCCTGACCCTTCCTTGAGAAAAGTTTTCAATTAGCAATAATCGCGCCTCGGATAAACCTCATTGGCTACGATACTGCCACTGCGCAAAGCTTCTGACCCTTCCTTGAAAGGCAGAAAATAAAGACGTGCCTGCATCTGCCCAGTTTTGGCCAGAGGGCCTTGGAGGGTCAGTGTCTGGCTTGGTGCCCCCCTGGCCTGGGACAGAGGTCTCCTGGGAGCCCTGTTTTACCCAGCACAGGACCCCTGGGAATATGTGGTGAGTGATCGTGAAAACTCTCCACCTGCACCCACTGACCTGTTGCTGGGCGTGGAGAAAACAGCAAGGACCACGGGCCGGCCCCCCAGGCTAACCACGCCCGTGACAGCCCGCAGCACGTTGAAGTAGAAGTGAGAGTCCCCGGGCACAGAGCAGTTGAGCCGCGCCTTCAGGAATGATGTCCACTGCTTCTCCAGCACGCGAGGGGAGCCGCCCACGTCATTCTTGCAGACCCGGGCCACACGGGACACCACCACCTGCAACATCAGCAGGCAGACGGGCCTGAACCCCATGTTCCGCCAGGCCCGCCTGCAGGTTGCAATGCCCACTGCCCAGGACGGGATGAAGGAGGCTAGTCCTGGCTGGCTGTGAGTCCCTGGCCAGTCACCCTAGCCCCCTGGGCACCAGATTCCCCGGCGGAAATGTGGGGATGGTGAGGTTCACAGCCACCAAGACAGCTGTAATCGTCATTGTCTCCACTGATGGGTCACACACTAGGTGCCAGGCACTTTATCCTCATCATGTCTCACGTTCCTCCCAAAGCTCTGTAGAGGAGGGCCTATGATCCCTGTGGTACAGAGGGGAAACAGGCACAGAGAAAGGGAAGTGACTGAAGCCCAAGGCCACACTGTTAGTAAATGGCAGTCTGTGCACTTAACTGTCTGCATGGATTGAGAGATGGGATGGATGGATAGGTGGTGCAATGGAGGTGAATGGATGGATGGATTAACGGATGGATAGATGGGTGAATTTGAAGGGGACAGTGACGGATAATGAAGATAATGAAGAAGGAGATAATCAACTGGTGGATGAATGGGTGTGTAGGTGGATGGATGGATGGATGGGTGTATGTAGATATGTATGTATGGATAGATGGATGCATGGATGGGTGGACAAATGAATGAGTATGTGGATGGATGGGTGTGTGGATAGATGGATGGATGGACAGATAAGTAGATGAAGATGAGTCTCCATGAATGGATAAATGTGTAGATGAGTGAGTATGTGGATGGACTGATAGGCAGATGAAGGACATAATGATAGATCATTATCATGGTATATCCATGGGTGGATAGAAGGTTGAATGGAATGGATGAGCAGGTTATGAGAAGAAGTTGGAGGCTAGATAACTGGATATATAGAGGGGTGGGCAGGTAAATGGAGAGATGGATGGCAGATGGATGAGTTGATCAGTAGGAGGACAGATCAACGGATGGTTGGGTATATGAATGAATGGACAGGTAGATGGATGAATGGATGAAGAAGCCAATGAGTGGGAGGTGGATGGATGGATTTACAGGTGCACAGAAGGTAGATGAGTGGATGGATGGATGGATGGATGGAGAATGGTTGAGGCAGGGGTGGGTGGATGGATAGATAAATGGTTTGATGGAAGTGTGGGTGGGCTGAAGATGGGTAAATGAGAGGGTGGCTGAATGGGCAGACATATGGGCTGTGGTTGAAGAGTGAATAAATGGATGGTAGATGGGTGGATGGACAGACAAACAATAACAGGACTGGGACTGGAACCACGGGTGTATCAGACTTCAAACCTGGGACCCTCACCCAGGGCTACTCCAAAAATGTCTTCAAGTCTTGGGGCCTGGTCCTGGCTAGAGTGCAGGGCCCTGAGGACCAGAGGGCCCCTCTCACCCTGGGTGGAGTCTCATGGACCCACCTCTGCTCTCCATTTCCGATGACTGGAGCCTCTTGGCTACATGCCCCACTGCATGGGCCTCTCAAGGAGGGGAAATAGGACCTTACCTTCTCCAGGTAGTTAAACTCCATTGCGATCTCCCGGAAGAAGAAATAGATGTGGCTGCCCCACTCCACCGCGTGGACAAAGTATGGCTCTGTAGGAGAGAGGGGTCAAAACCCAGTTCCTGATGGGAGAAAGGGAATTTCTGGAGCTGGGAACACAGTAGCCTGGGTGACTGCTTTTACAGTGAAGGAGTGGGGGCGGGGAGGAGAACATCAGCTGATTACCCAGGCAAAACAAAAGACACTCAAAGTTTGGGATATTTTTTTTTTTGTGGGGGAGAGTGGGTGTCAAAATCCTAAAATCATCATGTCTACTTTTCGCAAACAGCAACGTCTACTATTTTGTCATCTCCTCCTCCCTCCTGTGTTGAGCTGAGCTCCTGCTGAACCCCTCGTAATGTTCCATTTCAGGTTGCTAAGCCACTCATTTCCAGCAAGTTTTACTTTATACCCAAGTTAAATCTCTCCTCTAACTTGATCATTAAAGAGGCCAGTAGGTTCCAAAGAGGAGATGGGAGTTCCCTGCCTATCTCCTCTGGGACTTTATTTTGGTGGGGGAATTTGATAAATGTGAGCCCTGCCAGGTCTATCCCTATTGCCCCACCTTTGAACCACTTGGAGTCGTGTTTCACCGTGCGCAGAGTGGGCCGGTCCCCAAGACTGCGGTAGATGACGGCATCGATGGCAAGGAAGTCGGTAACGGTGGCTGTGAAGAGCATCCCTTCTGGGTGGGTGTGAATCAGGGGGAGGCAGGTAAGAGATTAGATCGTAGACCTCAGGGGTTGAGGGGGTCAAAACCTGATCTTCAAGACTGAGCCCTGGGACTTCCCTGTTGGTCCAGTGGCTAAGACTCCGTGCCCTCAAAGCAGGGGGCCCAGGTTCAATCCTTGTTCAGGGAACTAGATCCCACACACAACAACTAAGAGTTTGCAGACTGCAACTAAGACTGATGCAGCCAAATAAATAAATAAAATATCTAAGAAAAAAAGAGACTGAGCCCTGAGCTTAAGTGAGGCCTAAGTCTTAGGTAGTTAAACTCCACTGTTTAACTGAGCCCCAACCCTGCTGGGACCCTGACTTCAGCTGATCCTCAACTCCCCAGCTGATCCCCGACCTCGGCTGAGTCCTTCCTGCCTTGAGAGTCTGCCTGTTTCATAGCTGGAGAGATGGTCTCCCAGCTACCTTCTAAATGACCAAACTCCAAGAATGGAAAATTCCACGCCTTGCTCAGGGCTGAGGCCCCTTCAAATGGTCAGGGTTGGGGGCACTCACCAGAGAAGAGGGCAACGTTGGCGTGTTTGGGGTCGTATGGGCAGCGGGCCATGCCGCTGATGTTGTCCCCAAGGGGCTGCAGTGTGTCCATCTGCGGGGGTGGGGGTGGGGAAATAGGGTCTGAGTGACAGCTCCTGGCTGTACCTAGCAGCCCCTGGCTCCCCCAGCGACCCCCTGCGAGGGGAATCCTGGAGCCACCTTTGATGCTGTGTGACTTTGTCAGTCACTTAACCTCTCTGGGGCTCAGTTTTGTTGTTGTTTAGTGGCTTAGTCACGTCCAACTCTTTTGTGACCTCACCAAGCTCCTGTGTCCATGGGATTTCCCAGGCAAGAATACTGGAGTGGGTTGCCATTTCCTTCTCCAGGGGATCTTCCAGGGATGGAACCCGCACCTCCTGCATTGGCAGGTGGATTTTTAACCACTGAGCCACCAGAGAAATTCAGGGCTCAATTTACTGATCAGAAATTGAGTCTAAGAGTCGATCCTAGTCAATCCTATAACTGGCTTGTAGCTTAAGTAGCCTCAATCTGTACAGGCCGCCTTTGGAAGCCTCTTATGAAATTCCAGGTGATGGGGGGAGGACAGTTCATCCAGTAAGGCTTCCTGTAGGAGGTGATGTGGCCTGGGGAAACGGCACGACCATCAGAGGGCCCCGTGAGCAAAGGGGCGCCGATGTTAAACCTGGGCGGGCAGGGCTTTGATGGGCTGTGACTCACGCTGTAGTTGGCACACACGGGGTTGAAGGCATTGGAACCACACACGAAGAGGGTGGATTCGTCCCGAAGTAGAAGCACCTTTACAAAATTTCGACACTCGCCCTGGGATGGGGCGGGAAGAGAAAAGCCGGGGTGGGCGTGGTCACGGGTGTGGGCGGGGCCAGGGCTGTAGGACGCAATGGGGCGTGGTGAAGGGCGGGGCTAGGGTAGAGGTGGGGCCCGATAGGGAGGGGTCAGGTTGTGGGCGTGGCCAAGGCTAAACTAGGAGAAGATTGGGGGCGTGGCCATGGCTAAGGGTTGGTCACAGACCAGAAAATAGGGCACTTGAAGAGGTGGGCTGTGGCAAGGCCACTAGGGGAGTGGCCACGACTGAGGACCACCTTGAGGGCATGGCTAGACTCTGGGAGTACCCATGGCAACAGGGACCTGGCTTGGAATGAAAGCAGAGGATTTGCCCTGTGGGATGGCCAGGACGGATTGGGGAGTTACCAGGGCTGATGCGGACATGGCCAGGGCTCACTTACCTCCTGCTTGCCCTTCATCCGACACACGTTGATGTCGCTGGGGTTGGAGCGCCAGGTCAGCTTCTGGGAACACAGGGGGCTGGTGAGGGACACGGGGTCCTTGACGGACCCAGGAACCCTGCTAGGCAGACCCGAATCCTCCGTGCTCCCCAGCACAGTGTCCGCGCTCCCTAGTGGGAGCTGCCAACCGCTGCCCCCTCCCCTCCCGCCTGCGGCCCTTCCTCACCCGCTGGTACCGCATTTCCGTTGATGTGGGGGGCTCCAGCTCCACCCGGTACAGGTTGTCCCTAGAGAAGGGGTGTAGTTAGTGAGATTGGGGGCCTCCCCCTACACATTCTATCCTCCCGGCAGCAGACGTGGTGTCCAACACGTACCACACAGGGGCATACCAACACCTCTGCCACGCGCAGCTCCATACTGAGCATGCCTTCAGGCACCTAAGCATGCCCTTACCCGCCTCTTCGTGCCCTAAAATGAACCACGGGTTCTAGCACACCCCACATGCCTTACCATGCCACCTCACACAACCCATAGCCTAGGGACCTACAGCTAACAGGATGCACTGTCCAATGACTTTATGTCTGATGTCCGCCCCCCCACCCAGCACCCCTGTCTCCTCAGGCTCTCAATTCTCCACATGCGGCAGAGACTTCCCTGATCAAGGTCACTGGCCATTGCTAAGTCCAGCGGTCACTTCTCTGCTCTCTTCTCCCTTCCACAGTGTCTCTCCCCACCAGTCCACTCTCCTGGGAACGCCGCCCTCGTCGGGTCCCTGGACCTGGCACTCACCTGCCTTCCCTCCCACCTCTCTGGGCCCTCCTCATCCCCGGTGGGCCCACGCCTGGGTCCTCTGGCCTCTCCCTTCCGCTATCCATACCCCTCTGGGCGGCCTTGTCCACTCTCAGGGTGGAACCACGTCTCTGCAGATGACACACACAGTCCTGCCTCCAGCCAGGGCCTCCTCTGAGTTCCAGATCTGGCGCCCGGCTAACCCTCAAGGTGTCCACAATGGAGGGCTCACAGGTTTCTCGCACTCGACATGGCCTCGCTAAGCCCGACTATCCCCCAAACCTGCCCCCACCCTAACCACCCTCTCGGCTGAGACAACAGTGTGGAGTGACCCACATCTCCCCCTTCGCCTTCCCCCGCAATACCTTCACCTTTGCCTTCAATATGTATCGAGAGTTCACCCACTTCTCACACCCTCTACGGCCACCACTCTCGTTCAGCCCCCATTACCGGACTGCCCAGGGGTAGGGGCTCCCGCCCTCACCGACACAGCCTGCCTTCCCTTCAGCAGCCAGCGGAGAGCGGGTGTGAGCACCCGACTCGGGTCCAGTCTCCCCCGCAGTCGGCTCTCCTCACAGCAGCCACTAGAGGGCACCTGTGAGCACCTGGGTCAGGCCCCGCCCCTCCTCTGCACAGCGCTCTTGGGTCCCGGCTCCCTTGGGGTAAACGCCTGCGTCCTCGCCGCAGCCCACCAGGCCCTGCACGACCTGCCCTCCCCTCCTCTCTCTCTCCCCCTGCTCCAGACATTTGCGCCTCTTCACTGTCCCTTCACCATACGAGACACAGTCCTGCCCCAGGGCCTTTGCATGGGCTACATCCTCTGACCTCTCTCTCCCTCAGATTTCCTCACAGCCGGCTCCTCATCCTTCAGGTCTCAACTCAAATGTCACCTCAGAGAAGCCCTTGATGCCACTTCAGCACCCTCTCTAGCACCCAGGGAATTTTGACCAGACAGCTGTGCCCACTTGGTAACACACTATAAGCGGGCTCTGGGCTTCAACCACACCCAGAGTTCAGCACTTGAAATTCCCACCCCAGGGACACACATTCACATTCCAGCTGAACTAAAGGCCCTATCCCACAAACCTCCCTAAAATGCTACCACCTTCTCCCCACACCTCACCCACCGCACACTCTTCCCGAAAGTTTTTCCCACCTGCCCCCGATGAACAGCGTTCTATTGACCCGTAGAACTCGCTGGATGTTGAGGTCATCAGCGTCTTCTGAGAGGGTCAGGCGTCCTGGCCCACTGCCCACGAACACGGGATAGTGATTCAGGTCTGGGGGAGGGCAGAGGAAGGGTGTGATCCAGGACCAGAGTGAGTCTGGCTTGGTGAGACCCCCGGGGAGGGGCACTCCCTCCCCCATCGCAAGACTCCCCACTCACAGTCCCTGGGGGCCACGCTGAGCGGCGGCGGCTCCTCGGGGAAGAGGCCGTGGGCTCCTCCCAGGAGCAGCAGCAGGAGCAGTAGGGCCGGACGGGAGGGGAGCCCTCGCGGGGTCCGCATGGCGAGGTCAGGGCGACAGGAGGTGACACCTGCGAACGAGGGGCGGGGCGGTGAGCCGTGTGGCTTGCAGTCCCTAAAGCTGCCAGCAGAGGGAGCATGAGTGTCACGGCGTCCAGGACCTTCAAGTCCCAGAAAACTTTCCCATTGGGGTAATAATTTAAAAATAACAACAATCATGGCATTAGCAATAATAATATCAGCACTTACTAATTACCAGAACAACTTTCTGACCATATTTTAAAACGAAAGTTCAGGAAACGGTTCATAACAAAAAATTAATCATGAGACTAATTTAAAAATTAAATGATTTTAAGTTAAAAATGAATAACACACATTTTAAAACATATATGTATTTAAAAATTCAACCTCAAAACATACGTTTAAAGTATTCTTAGAATTAAAACACGAAAATCTTAAAAGAAAACACTCAAAAAAAAAAAAAAAAAGAAAGAAAAAGAAATTCAAAGGCCCTAGGAATTTTATAAACCACAATCTGGGAACTGCAGGACTTTGGAATGGAGACCTCAGAAGCCGCAGTGAGCCTGACTTCCGACTCCAGCTTTTCGGTCCTCTGCTGACATACTTCTGTGACAGGAGCCTCACCACCTCTAGAAGGGGTTGTGGGAGAGGCAGCTTCCTGCTCCGGTATGTGGAGTCCCCCCCCTTACCCGAGTGATGCTCTGGTTGATGGTGTAAACAGAACTCATCCTCTGGAACCCAGCCCTCCATGCCCCTTTCAGAAGGGGCGCGGTCCGGAGGCCCCAGGAAGACATCCGAAGCCTTGTCCTCCTGTGAAGTCCCGGGTTAGCTCTGAGCCTCAGTTTCCCCGCCTAAGCAGCAGGTACATCTCCCAGCCTTGCCCAGGACCTGGGGGCACGGGGATTCCGAATCCGTGGAGGTGGACATGAGCCGGGAACTTCGGCCCTGGAGCGCCTGCCTCTGAGGATTCAGGGCCAAAAAACAGGAAGGCCTTGCGTGGGCCGGCAGTGTTTCCTCTCCGACCCTGAGCTTCCAGGATTTGTGACTCAGCCGACGCCAGGATCCCATGTGCGTGCGGACCTGGCTCTGCTTCCTTCAGTTTCCTGCCCGGGCTCCTCCCCTGCTCCACGACTGCCCGAGTCTCCCAGTGACCCTGGAGTCGGGTCACCAACACTGCCATTCAAGGCCCCCAACTCCACAGCCAGACCGCAACTGTCCACCCCACTCTGAAAATCTCCTCCCCACAACACCTGCAAGAACACCTCAGCCTCCACCTCTGTGATGTTCTGTCTGCTCTGTGCCTTTTTTTTTTTTTTTTAACATTTTAATATTGTGGTCCAATGTACATAGGGGCTTCCCTGGTGGCTCAGGAGTAAAGAACCTGCCTGCCAATGCAGGAGAGGAACAACCCAATCCCAGGGTCGGGAAGATCCCCTGGAGAAGGAGATGGCAACCCACTCCAGTATTCTTGCCTGGGAAAGTCCATGGACAGAGGAGCCTGGCGGGGTACAGTCCGCAGGGTCACAAGGGGTCAAATACGACTTAGTGACCAAACGACAACACCAAAATATATATAGCATAAAATTTGCCATCTTAATGATATTTATGTGGCATTAAATACATTCACATGGTCACGCAACCATCCTACCACCCACCTCCAGAATTTTCTCATCTTCCCAAACTGAAACTCTGTCCCCATGAAACAGGCTCACTGTGCCCACCCCTAGCCCCTGGCCCCACCATCTACTTCCTGTCTCTGTGGATCTGACTCTAGGGACCTCCTGTGAGTGGAACCAGACAGCATTTGTCATTCTGTGTCTGGCTTCCCTCATTGAGCATCACATCCTCAGGGTGTATCCTTGTATCAAGTGTCAGACTATCCTTCCTTTTTAAGGCTGAGTGATATTCCATGGTAAATGGATGGACCACATTTTATTTACGCATTTACCTGTCGATGGACAATGGGGCTGCTTCCACCTTTGGGCTGTTGTGAACAGCTATGAACATGGGTGTGCAAACACTTCTTTGAAACCCTGCTTTCATTTCTTTTGGGTGTCTATGTAGGAGTGGAATTGCTGGATCGTATGGTGACTCTATGTTTAACTTCTGGAGGAACTGCCAAGCTCTTCTCCACCGTGTCTGCACCATATTATATTCCCACCAGCATCACCCATGTGTTCCAATTTCTCTTGCCAACACTACTTTCTGCTTTTTGATAGTAGCCATCGCAAGAGGTGTAAGGCAGTGCTCTTGGCCTTTTATCCCATGTTTTATTGGAACTGTATTTAACTTCAGAAACTTTAAGACAACAGCTTCCTCTCACGGGCCATGCAGCACTGTGATGAGTGGCGTAGCTCCAGGGTCATAAGGGTTCAACTCCCAGCTCTGCTCTGTACATGCTGTGTGACTTGGACACGTCACGCCACCTCTCCGAGCCTGTTTCCTCATCTGTGAAATGGGCATGGTAACAGCATTGACCTCACAGGCCTGTAATGGGTGTTAGGACAGAGCCTAGAAATGCTGTAGGTGCTCAGAAAATACTAATTATTATTATGATTGTTGATGCCATTGGTATATGAAAAGTTTCAGAGGCCAAGCTTGGTGGTTTCCAGGAATTGCTTCATGGTAACCCCAAGGGCTGTAGCAGGGTTGGTATAACATTCAACCCATTTTTGCAGATAGGGAAACTGAGGGGCTGATTCGGTGGCACGACCCACCAGTGAGGACTGATTACAGGGCTCTCTCTGATTCCAGGATTTTGCTTCTAGGAGTTGAGCATTTGAACAGTCATGACAAGATTAATAACCACCCATTTCCTCACCCTTCAACCAGATGAAGCCAGCAGTTACTTTTTTTCTTTTTCAAAAATTTTTTTGGTTGCATTGCACAGCATGTGGGATCTTAGCTCCCTGACCAGGGATCAAACCCTTGTCCCCTGCATTGGAAGTGCAGAGTCTTAACTGCTGGATATCTGGGGGAGTCCCAGAGGCCAGCAGTTATTTAACACTCAGTTCACAGACAGGCAGGCTGAGGTCAGGATGGGACCTCACGGCTCATTTTTTCTCCTGGTTTTCGTAACCTTGTCATGCAACCACTTGCGGCTAGAAGGATGTTCTTGTCATCCCTCTGTCCACAGCTGCCCCTAGCCACTCAGAACCACCCTGGGACCCCTGCAACCCAAACTGGGCTTTTCTTGCCTCAAACCTGCTTCTCTTACTAGATCCCTGACTTAGGGATGGCTCCATTGTCCTTGAGCCAAAGACCAGGGTGTTGGCCTCCCAGTCGCTTCCTCCACCCTGACTGCCCCAAGGCCCAGCTCCCACCCCATACCTGGTCCCCTGGCCTCCAGTCCCAACCCTTCAGTATCTTCCTCAAGGTAGCAAAGGAATCTTTCTAGAACCCAAATCTCATTTGTTTCTCTCCTGCTCTAAACCAGGTCCTCTCCCCTTCAGCACCACTGACATTTGAGACCAGATCACTCTGGTGGGGCCGTCCCGGGCACTGTGCCAGAAGCATCCCTGGCCCCAACCCACTCAATGCCAGGAGCATCCCTCAATGGTGACAACCAAAAACATCCCCAGACATCACCCAGTCTCCCCCGGGGGCGGGGGGGGGGAACCCACCCCCAGGGGCTGAGAACTTCTGCTCTAAAGCTTTCTATGGCTCCCCAGTGCCCTTGAAATGACATCTCCTCCCTTCCCTCTCCACCTCTGGGCATCTGCATGTGCTGTTCTCTCTGCCTGGAACATCTGCCTCCTGCTCCCAGTAACCTGATAAACATGTTCGTCACCTTAACACCTCCTCCAGGAAGACTCCCCAGATCAGCCAGGGTTGACTTCCTTTAGCCTCCTGCCTGCCTGTGCTTCCCCAGTGAGTGCCCTGCTCACCTCATCTCCTAAACACCTGGCTAACTGTTCACCTTTCCCACTGGACTCTGAGCCCCACATGGACAGTGGGGCTGAGTCTGTCTTGGCCACCACCCAGCACAAGACCTGGTATATAGTACAAGCTCAATAAATAGTAAAAATAGCAAACACCAAGCACTTTCTATGGGCCAGGAACCGTTCTAAGGACTTAAATGAACTCATTTGATCTGCACAACACATCCCATAGGTGGGTGCTGTTAATATGCCCCTTACACAGATGGGGAAACTAAGGCACAGAGAGGCAAAGTCACAACCAAATGGAAATGGCTTGAAGCCGAGACTGAAATCCATTTAGTTTTCTTTTCCTTTTTTTTTTGGCTGCACAGCATGTGGGATCTTACCTCCCTGATTAGGGATTGAACCGGTGTCCCCTGCATTGGAAACTGGATTCTTAACCGTGGGGCCACCAGCGAAATCCCTGGAACCCACTTAATTGACATGTGTTAGTTTGATGATGGTGCAGAACTGAACCCCACATGCTGTTTTGCAGGAGTCTGGGTCACTTCAGGGTCAACCCACTGCACCTAGCCTCAGTTTACCCCCCTGACCTGGGGTTATCGGAGGCCTCAGCATCTCCCTCACCATCCTCAAGACCATCTGCTTCTCTCCATGAAACTTGAGGCTTCTCTGCCAGCAGCCACCCGGCGCCTGCCTGCCCAGAAGTGGCCCCACCACCTGCCCCGGCACCTGGCCACCGGGAGCCAGACCTCCCCCAGGACCAAGCAGGAGGGGCCACGTGGCTGGCATGTGCAGCCCATGGTGTGCAGGCTACCTATGCACCTATGTGTCTGCCTGCCTGCGGCCCTGAGAATGTGCGTTTATGCCCATGGAGATGGGAGGGACGGTTAAAGAGACAGAGATTCCCCCCTCCCCCTGGAGGGCTTGCACGTACTGTGACACCACTTCTCTGCCCAACCTCCATCACTCCAAGTCTTGGCACAGTCCCATTGTACAGATGAGGAAACTGAGGCAGGTATGGAAATCCCCTCCAGGCCACTTGCTTCACCCTTCCATCCACCTTTTCAGGTACCATATGGCCTTAGCTTGTATACCTTCATCATAGATTTGAATTTCCTTCTGAAACATTTTTCCCAC